CAAGAAATGTGTTCCTTCTCGATACTGAATATTTTCAGCTGAAAACATGATTTAAACAAGTAGCCTACTACAACACTTATGCACACACAATCGCTCTCTCCATAATGCATTCAAACAAGTGTAATCTTACAGTGCTACTTCATCTGAATCCGATTTCGATTGAGCAGAAATTTGAAGACTTATTTTCATCACAAACAAAATTTGAACTGCAAAAAAGCAGCAATTATACCTTTTAATGCTGACAACCATGTTATTAGCTTGTCATGTGGTAGGAAAAAAGTTTGCACACTAGTGTTCCAATAAGCCACTTTGAAACTCTCCTGTTATTTTGTTTATTTTATTTTTTAATATACGTTATGAACAGAACTGTGATTCTGTAGAACTTTAGACGCGGAGCGGTGTTTCTGATATCAGTGAGAGCCGCTCACATACTCTGCCGGACACCGCCACACAAATGTGGCTTTTTATTAATGACTGTCTAGCAGTCTGTTACAGGCAATTCTAGTTGCATTTTTCATCAGTTAATTTCTTAAATTGAATTAATAGTCAAAATAACTTTGACTATGTTCTGGGCCGCCATGTAGTGGCAAAATTTTTTTTGGCCCGATGCCAAACTTACTTGCCGACCCCTGCTGTAGACCATAATATATTTATGTACATTGCTTAGTAAAAAAAAAAAACACTTTGAAGACTGTGAAACCCTTTGGGCTACTAGCTCATTGCACTTGCATTGCTGTTGTACCATTTAGCATAATTTTGCTTGTAATCGACACCATGCCACAAAGTCCTTAATTTAAAGGGATAAATCATCCAAAAATCATCATTCTGTCATCATTTACTCACCATCATGTCACTCCTGTATGATTTTTTTTTCATAAAGTACAAAAGAAGATATTTTGTGGAATATTTCATAAAATATCTTCTTTTGTGCTCTGCAGAAAAGAGAAAGTCATACTAGAATGTTCATTTTGGGCGATTGACCCCTTTAAAGAAGAACTGAGCTCTTGTTTGTGCGTATGAATGTTTGTTTGCAATGCTAACAGCTTGTGCTTTCCTGTGAGTGAAAACTGCTCACAGATCTTTAAACACACACACACTAGCACACTGAACGATTTGACCGCATTAACCGCAATATTAACGAAGCGGAATTCCAGTTCATTCGATCTCTTATCGGCTCCCATGAGGTTTGATGAGGACCAGCAGTGTTTGGCTTTAATGCTCCACATGTGGTGTTTATGCCAGTGCTCTGCATGTTAGTTTATAGCATATGATCGTTTACATAAGCCAGTTAATGTGCCAATTAAAAATATTAAAAGACAGCTTCATTGGAACTGGTTGCAAAGCAACAGTTAGCGTACATTAGCATTATTAACATTTATATTGTTATAGTCAAATTAACAGAAGCTGTAGATGTAATATATTGTGTTTTTGTTTTAACTCTTTGTTAACAACTAAAACCAAGCTAAAGTGGTTTAGCTGGTCTCACAACCCATAAAGCTGGTTTTTAGCCCCTCTAAAACCATATATCAGACCATCACAACCAGATTACAAAGGCTAGTAGACTAACTAACCACCTTTGGCAGTTTTAAACAGTTTTATTCAGCAGGGCTAATTCTTTCTTAAGAATTGTTTTGAAACTGGCAATTTCCTGAGGGAGAAAAAAAAACATAGCTTAAAGGAATAGTTCACCCAAAACTGAAAATTTGCTGTGAATGTTCTCACCCTCAGGTCATCCGAGATGTAGATGAGTTTGTTTCTTTATCAGATTTAGAGAAATGTAGCATTACATCACTTGCTCATCAATGGATGCTCTGCAGTGAATGGGTGCCGTCAGAATGAGAGTCCAAACAGCTGATAAAAACATCACAATAATCCACACCACTCCAGTCCACCAGTTAACAACTTGAGAAGCCAAAAGCTGTGTGTTTGTAAGAAACAAATCCATCATTGTGGCTTTATTTAAACCATTGCTTTCAGCTCAAATATGAGTCTCCATTTGAGAAGTTTTTAACTTAAACTACAAGTCCATAATTCATAATAATGCTTCCTCCAGTGAAAAAGTCCATCTCCTGTGGTCTCTCACATCAAAATCCACACACATATTTGTTTAGAGCTGTTTTGGCTTGTAAACGGTGCTTGATCTGTGCAGATTTCTCTCCTGATTCAGACCAGATGACTTTTTCACTGGAGCAAGCATTATTATGTATTGTGGACTCGTATTTTAGCTGGAAAGGTTTAACGTTAAAAACATCTTAATTATGGATTTGTTTCTTACAAACACACACCTTTTCACTTCTCCAGATGTTAACTGATGGACTGGAGTGGTGTGGATTATTGTGATGTTTTTATCAGCTGTTTGGACTCTCATTCTGACGGCACCCATTCACATCCATTGGAGAGCAAGTGAGGTAATGCTACATTTCTCCAAATCTGATGAAGAAACAAACTTATCTACATCTTGGATGGCCTGAGGGTGAGCACATTCACAGCAAAGTTTCGTTAAACTTCCTTCTTAGGAACAATTTTGTGAATCTGGCCCCCGGTTTGAATCATGTTGTTGTGTGTACAGGGGATTCTGGGTTTATCATCAGTCCGCGCTCCATCCATTACTTTCCTCATGGGAGGAAGTCTGATTCCCCGTCTCCCACCAGCAGAGATCCATAGGGGAAGGTTTAGGGTTTGAACGAGGCACTGAATCTGTTTTAGACACTCAGATTTGTTGCGTTTTTGCTTTGCTGCCTTTTTAGGACATCAAACGATCGGCAACTGGGATTTGAACTATAGGAAACCTGCAGTGGCGCTTTAACTCAAACACAACATATGATGAGGTTTGCTGATCCGCGGCTCAGTGGCCCGTGTTTGCTCTGGGTTAATGGGTCATTTTGCTGTGAAATTAAAACACTTGTTTGAGACCCATTATCCTGTTTTTACAAGAGTGATTGTGACAGTCGGCACAAAAAACACGGTCACCGCTTGATTCAGGTTAAACGGTAATGATTTGATAACGCATTCTATACACATTTTTTAATAGCTAGTCTATGTATACATGCTTTGTCAAGGTAAAATTAGTTTAACATTTAGAAATGCATCTTAAAATAGGCTACTTGTATTTTTGTAGCTATTTTTGAGTGCATAAACGCATCCAGCGTGAACAGCCCCTTATTCCAGTTTTAATCATGCTGTGAATCAGTGGTAGTGTGTGAAGGTGTAGTTGTTCCTATTGGGTTTCTTGGAGGATGGAGCTATTTTTGTGTTCAGGCTAAATCTGGTGAAGTTTGAGGTTACAGTGAGGTCAAACAGAAGGTCAAATGTCAGAGTGAATGAGCTCTTGAGGACTGAGAATGACACTTTAGCATCTGATGGTCAAGACCGTGGTTTCTAGTTGGAGTTGGATTCATGTCAAGATACTATTTTACTCCAAATCATTGTCAGTGTGAACGCTTCTCAAACGGGTTATTCAATGAGAAAACAACATAGAGCAGGACTTTATCCATGAGGAATTGATTGGATGGAGAACAAATGTTGTTATATGGTTATGATTAACATATTAAGCTATTTCATTGTGGCCATTAAAGAATAATTTGTTTTGTGCAGTTAATAATAATAATAATAATAATAATAATAATTGCCTAATAATAATAATAATACTATTATCAAATAAAAATTACTTTATTTTACAATCACTTTATCAATAAAAATTAGATTTTATTTGCAAGTGTCCACATATTTAAAATTCTGTACTGAAAAGAAAAACTATATAAAATATGATGATTATTATTATTATTGAAATTATTATTATTAATGCTGTTTGTCTAATTAAAGTGATTATCAAATAAAAATGACTTTTTATTTTATAATCACTTTATCCATAAAAATTTGACTTTATTTGCAAGTGTCCACATATTTAAAATGCTGTACTGAAAAACTATATAAATATGATTTTATTATTATTGTTGTTGTTGTTGTTGTTGTTGTTGTTGTTGTTGTTGTTGTTGTTGTTGTTGTTGTTGTTATACAGGTTTTTATTGGCCACAATGAAATATTAAATCGAATTATTATTATTATTATTTGTGGTAACATTTGTGTAATTAAAGTGATTATTAAATAAAAAATACGTTTTTATATGATAATCACTTTATCCATAAAAATCACCGGTTTTATTTTCAAGTATCTGTCCTCGTATTTAAAAAGCTGTACTAAAAACGATTTCCTAAATTGCAAATAAAATATAATCCGTCTTCATTTATACAGTGTAAGAAATATAATTCGCCCAGTCATGTCTCGATATTCCAATATTTACCCAATATGCTTAATATAACCCAATACGCTTATAATATAAATATGTATTTGCATAGCAATTTTTTGGGGGTTCTTTAAAGTAAACCTTTATGCATTTGAAATGCTGATATTAAAATAAAACATCACTAATTCTTACAATACATCCACATTTTCAACCAGTATAATTTTCAAAATCCTTCCGTCTCGAATGGAGACGATGGTTAAACACGTCTGCAGAATTGTACACTCTAAAAAATGCTGGGTTAAATACAACCCAGTGCTGAGTAAAATAGGGACAAGCCCAGCAATTGGGTTGTTTTGACCCAGTGGGTTAAATGATTAACCCAACCTTCTGGGTAGTAACCCAACCGCTGGGTCAAAACAACCCAATTGCTGGGCTTGTCCCTATTTTACTCAGCACTGGGTTGTATTTAACCCAGCATTTTTTAGAGTGTAGGCTATAGTATAATCAATTTAAGCCGGATAAATCATATGCAATATTTTGTAAGATACTGCTAAGGCAGCCTAGTGCTTGACTGTAGCCTAATTATTTTTATTGCAAATTTATTCCTCCTTGCTAATTCTGAATTTGGCCAAAAAGCAAAGTCTGTTCCAGAGTGTTCTGGATGTAAATGAACGGACGGATCGGATGGATGATGTCACGGCAGTAATGAGTGAAACCCAACACCGAGCGCGCAGCGCAGCGCTGGAGATGCGCCGAACCGAGCAAGTCCAGACACATGCGGAGCTCAGAGCCCGGAGCGACTCTCTCTCTCTCGTTCTCCCTCTCCCTCCCTTTCTCTCGCTCTCAGTCCGGTTTAATACGGATCTTCTGACCTGCTCTCTCAATAAACCCGCCGTATCCCGTCATCGCCCCGTGTTTCCAGCAGCGCGCTTGATGTTCGAGGTCTGATCCGTGAAGTTCTCCATGCGCGCTTGCTCGCGGAGATGTGGACGCTGCTGATCAGGCTGGATCTGGTCTCATGAGCCGGTGGTGTCTTCTGCTGTGGAATTCTGTTTTCGCTTTGAAAACTGCTGCTTGGACAAATGCATACAAATGCATTTAGGAGCCCAACGGACAAGGAGTGGACAAGTTTCTCCCACAACGACAACGTGAGTAACTCAATCTCGGGGGCTTCTGGAGAGAGACCCGCTGTGCAAAGCTTCATTCAGGTTCTTCATAACATCATATGGGAGAAAAATTATGAGAGACCACCATACTTAGGAGTTAGTTCTTTCCGCGCTATCGATAATAAAAAGAACGATCAGATCGCGATGCATTTATTGGCGTGCATTAATCATATAAACTACATAAGTGTTTTAACTCGTGCACAGTAGACATGCATTCCTAAATAAATGCTGGAGTTTCGTGCAAACTTATTAAATATAGTTTTCACTGCAATCCCAGTCTGTAACCCCAACACCAGATTGACTTCTGACATTATAGCCTTCATAATGATCACAAATCAATTGGGATTTTGAGTCTGTCTGCTGCTGTATTTTCCATATGTTGATCCGGGGTTAAACTCCTCTTGCTTTAGAACCAAATGTGCACCAGATGAGGAGGCTTTCTGATTTACTGGCTTAGCCTATTTGTTTGCATATATGAACTGTAACTGGTTTGATAAAGTGTGGATTTGGCTGAAGTGGTTGTGAAATATGAGTGTGTGTGTTTTACTGTGCGCTGTTAGTTCCCGTTCCCAAACCGACACACAACAGCAGCAACATTCCTCATGGAGATGAGCGTTGACCTCTAACATCTGGACAGCCGTTCCTGACTCAATGAAAACCCAGCAAATCCACACATGCACCTGACTGCGAGCTCGCTTCCTCGGTTTATCTCAAAACACTGATGTTAGATAGCATGTTACTTCTTGTTAAATGTTGTTTAGGGGCTTTTGACTGAAAAAGTGCAGCACTTTCATGCAAAAAGCATTGTTCTGCCCTCTTGTCTTTCCAAACCTGTATGACTTTCTTTCATCTGTGGAAAAAGAAGATACTTTGAAGAATGTCTCAGTGTTTTGGACCCCATTGTTCTTCAAAATGTCACATTTTATGTTCTGCAGAAGAAAGAAAGGTTTGGAATGATGACCGAATTATCATTTTTGGGTGAACTTTGGCTTTCAGGAGATGTTTCTCCATGCAGGCTTGATTTGCTCATGGAAAATATGGAAATATCAAGGAAAACTCGGACAAATTGGGTAAAGTGATGGAAAGTAATATACATTTCCAAAACATTTAATTGATGACAGATGTTGATGGTCTTATTGGAGACATTTTGTGTACTATTACGTTTAATCGTTTGTGTCTGTTCATGTCTAATCATGGAAACCTCTTGGAGATTCATTGGTTAAAAAGTGTGGAAACTTGATTTGACACCTAAAATGACTTCATAATCTTGAACCCAATGTAATTGGATGGATTCGGTCAAAAGGTGTGTGAACGTTGATCTGATTTGACACCTAAAAATGACTTCATAAGTTTGAACCCAATGTAATCGGTTGGATTTGGTCATATTAAATAACATTCTTGACATTGCAACAGTCACTTATTTATTGCATTTATTAGATGAGCGTTGAGTTTCATTGCACATCCTCCAACCTGGAAGCAATTCTCTGGTCAAAATGCATGGGAACCTTGACCTGATTAAACAGCTAAAAGACACTTTCATAAGCTTGAACCCAATGAAATTGGTCTGATTAGTCATAATAAATAATATTCTTGACATTACAATGTTCATGCATGATTGCATTTGTTAGTTGAGCATCGAGTATCTCAATGGAACCAATTCATTTGTCAAAAAGTGTGGCAAAATTTGACAACTAAAAATTACTCTCATGAGCTTGAACCCAATGAAATCAGTTTGATTGATCAATTTGATTTGATTGTTACTAATGTATGCATGTTTGCATTTGTTAGATGAGCGTTGATGCATGTTTAATGAATTCATTCAGTGTTGTTGTGCTTCCAACAATGGAACCTGATCAAAACAGAGGAGAGATTGAATGTATTCAGAAGCATTATGTTATAATCTGCTAGCATTGACCATATCATCATATATGTACAGTAGAAGAGAATGAGTTATTTTCTAAGAGTTATGCTGTTGTTATTGCAAAATAAACCCAGCAGGGTGATCAGAAGGGTCTTGTATCTTGCTGATGGGATTTATTTTGCAATAATGACCATCGAAATGTCCTTATTTGTGGTTTTGTTCAAGTTTTCCATTACATAGCTAGAGATTTTTTTGTTTACTTACCAGGAACATTGCACTTTACTTTTCAGAGATGTTCACAGATACTTTAGCTCTACTTGTTCTTGGTCCATGTTTGTAGAGACAGTGTCTTTGAAGTTGTTTTGTGTGCGTATTGTTCCTCATCTTGTCAAAAAGGCTGGACCTAAACCAGCATGAATTTCCAGGCTGGATTGTTGCTGGTGAATCTGCATAACCGTGCCGTTCACCAGAGAAATTAAGTTGTTGAAAGAGTCAGTCTCGCTAGAGAAGAAGCTTAGCATCCAATACGCAGGTCTTTTTAGAAGGTCCAGATCTAAAACTAACCCTGGGTTACCAACAGAACAGCGTTTTAGTAATGAAGTCACGCTCTGGCTGCAGGTGTGAGAAACCAACGGCAACAGGATCAGATATTGGCAGCCGATCAGTGAGCGAACAATCTCGGCTACGCGAGCGTCTGCTCAGTATGCTGAGAACACGGCTTTAGCTCTGGCACGGACTGAAATGAGAATAAATTATGCAAGCGCTGTGAATCAGAGAGATCTACATTAGCCACACCCCTAAAAGATGATTGGTTGAGACGTTTTTGAGCGACTTCCTTGCTGTTTTGTGAAGCTGTAAAGCCGTTTGTGTTGCTAGAATTGAAGATAGACAAACAATCGGGGGTCAAGTCCAAGTGAAAAGTCAAAGTAGTTGCTTTAGGATGCTGTCATGTCAACTATCTCCCAATGCTGTGGACATTTAAGGTCAAAAAGCCAATATTAAATACTTACAGGTCAATAAGGGTCAGGAAATATTGGTTTCCTAACTGCAGATGCTACTGAAGAGCCAGAATGTTTCTTGACTGGCAAAAGTTTTCTTGACCTACAAAAGTGGATGCAACTTTCCGAACCTAGTTTTATATATTGAATAAATTGTTTGTATTTGGGGTCACATGGTCAGTTAAAATATTTGTAGCACTAGCAGCCAAAAAGTGTGGAGACCTTAACCTAAATTTGACAACTGACAATGGCTTTCATAAGCTTCAACCCAATGTAATCTGTCAAATCTGGAAATGCATTGGTCACAACGTATTGGAAGTGGATGCAACTTTCCGAATCTAGTTTTATGTATTGAATCTGCTGTTTATATTTGGGAGTCACATGTTCAGTTGCAATATTTGTAACACTTGTAGCCAGTGTTGGGGAATGTTACTTTTAAAAGTAATGCATTACAATATTGCTTGCATTACTCCCTAAAAAAAAGTAACTAATTATGTTACCTAGTTACTTTTTATGGAAAGTAATCCGATATGTTACTTTTGTGTTACTTTTTAAATCTGGGCTGGGCTTCCTTGTTTGTTTTAATATTAAAAAAGTTCTATTTTTGGCCAATGTGAAAAGTCCTTTCACACCAAAAGTAAAATTTATAAAGCTCAGGCTTAAGAAAATGTAAATTCACGTCTGTAGCCTACAGTAGATGGCGCAGCTCAAACAACCCTTTCAACTGTGCTGCTGTTCTGGATTGCATGAAGAATAGGATGCATACAGTTGCTGTTTTAACCGCACAGACAAACTCTTGTTTAGATTCGGGCTCCTCCGCCGTGTTTTGTTTGTGTTTTTCTTTTCTTTTCTTGGGCCGTGGAATGTCGCACCGTCCTCTCAGAGAGAACTGTGGGAAAACAAACAAGTTTGACCAACCGATCAGGCTGTTTATTTGATCTTTCAAGCTGTTTAAAGGGACCATTTCGACCTATCTCTCAAATGGACCATTGACACTCTATCTTCAATCTCAATTAGGAGTGTCAATGTTTATTTGAGAGATAGGTGGCGGTAATGCACTTATAAGTCTGCGATCTGCCGCAAAGCAAGAAGAAGAAGAAGTCGCGTCACGCGCCGGCTGTTGAGGACGCGCTCAGGACAGTTCAGGCATTGCAGTGCATCAGAGGTAAAAAACGATATAAATACTGTTCAGTTTCTTGCACAGACCGATCGTATTGTGTCTTTACACATCGATGTATCGTCACGAGCCGCAGGGTTTAATTTGGTATTTTTTGTGTATGTTTTTTTGACTCTCAAAGCCGTGATTCCCATCCACCTCCATTATATGACTGACAGACTGCAACGGTTTGAGTTAAAAATCTCCGTTTGTGTTCTACTGAAGAAACAAAGTCACCTACATCTTGGATGCCCTGGGGGTAAGCAGATAAACATCACATTTTCATTTTTGGGCGAACTATCCCTTTAACCTTTGGTTTCTGTATAGACAGATATGTTTTAGCAAACTGATCTTGCTCTTTAGCGCCACCTAGGGTTGAGCCGTTTTAGCCATACAAATACTGTAAAATCCTTCTCGGGGCAGCAGTTGCTCACACTTTCTGAGGTGAAGGGCCATTTTCCTTTGCTGTGCGTTCAGCTTCTCTCGTCGACAGGATAATTACAGTTTATAACGGCACCAGATGGACCTCCATTAGCCCGCTCCGTCACAGTCATAAAACGCTTTGTTTGGGTTTCATTTCTCATGTGAATTATACTGTCAGGACCCCCCAAAACACACTCGCCCTCCCAAACTGAGCTTTCTCACACACATTCAACAGCTAAAGTACATGAGTTTGACTTTCTCTGTCATAGTGCAATGTTATGTGATGTCTATGGCTGTTTTTTTGCAATACCATAATATATTAATGCAGTTTATGTTTACATATATGTCATACTATGCTGTAAAGAATATTTTAGTATTATGTACTTTTATAGTAAATGTTAATATTTTGACTTCGCTTTTGTTTACAGTTTGCATTTTAATTGAAGTTTTGAAAATTGAGTTTTGTGCTTTGGAATGTTTATTAGTTTTTGTGTTTTTTATTAAATGGTTGTTTAGCTTTAATTTTATTTTATTTCAGTTAGTTGCCAAGGAAACATTGATTTTTTTGTGTTTACAGTTTGTTCATATTTATGCATTATCACTGCAAAAAGTGTTTTCCTCAGTAGAAAAAATAAAATCAATACTGATATCTAAACATTTTTAAATCAATATACAAGATGCAAAAATGACATAAGATAAAATATTCTCGTTTAATGAGAAACTGATCAATTATTTTATGATTAAAACATGAAAATATTTGCCAATGAGATCAGAACATTAAGAATTAATTCAAAGGGTAAACAAGTTTGTTTTTCTGACCCCACTAGCAGATATTTTTAGCCTAGCCTACAAAAATTATGCTTGGAAGATCTGTTTTGCGTAATTGTCATTAATTATTAATGAGTTTTATGTCTTTTAAAATCACTGTTGCACAGGAAGTTCTATGTTAGTCTGAGGTTTCTGGTTTGTAGCCCCGCCCACAGTGGAATCTTATTGGTTCAAATTCTCATGTATTCTGATTGGCATTGATTTCTGTCAGTGTATTTGTTGCTGGAAACGTGTTGCATCGCTCCTGGTTAGGATGAGGTTTTACCATGGTTTTACAGTGATTAAGGGCGTTTTATAGGAACATCTCTTATTGCATGGCCTCGAGTGGTTTACTGTTTGATTCTGTACATCTGAGGAGCACATGCTGGGTTCCTGTAGTGAGTCACTGGAGAACAGGCTTCCAGCAGGAATTCAGGCCTGAGGGATTCACAAACAGCAGGAATGTCTTAAACACATCTGATGCTTTCCATTCACGCTGGAAAACAATGAAAGCATCATGCATGGCTTT